TTTAAATGTAAACATATAAAGCGAAAGGAAAATTAGATTCCTTAAGTTGTTTGAAGGTTTTTTCTACCAGCCATTGGATAATAATGGATTACCTTACATGTCTTGAATGTCGGTATCTTCAGAAGGATGTATTTGAGGGGTTAGATTCACTTTCTGACTGAGTAATATCTCTGTCTATAGCATAATTCAATGTAATAATTGTAGCCAAATGTAATCCAAAGATATTAGATCTAGAATTTACCTTCCTCTCTCATACAGAATAATGTCATACTGTACGAGTAATACTTCTGACTCTCCCCAGAATTTTTTCAATAAATTAAGAGCTCATCAGTGTGAAGTAAGACTTTACCTTGTGCCTCTTATAATTGCTACATGAAAGAGAACTAATGGTTAATGGCTAGGAAGCATAGACAGTTAATTCTTTCTCTTCCCCACCTACACATAATGAAACACTGACATTTGATTTCTTGAAAGTATGTCCTTTGTCTAACCCTGCTCCTGTCTGGTTTTCTGTATTTCCTAGAGGCTGCAGCCTTGTAAGCTGCTGTAATGTCTATCAGCATAAGTCACACTAAAAGACCAAGGCTTTGATAGCTAATGTTAATAACATAAATTGAAGAGAAACATGAGATACACAGGAAAATTGTATAGAACCCATTTCCCAAGTGGAGGGGAGCCCCTAATCTCAAGGCTGCCATCTCCAAATGAGTTTTTCAGATTAGCTGCTTAGCTGATTTTTTTGGTAATTTTTTGTAGTTTCAACCAAGATGCTAGTTGTATTTTTTTAATGAAAATGAGATGTGCGGCTTAATATTGCATACTGACAAAGCAAAGCGTGCTTGCTGAGGTGGGAGGGTGAAGGAGAAGTATAGCATATTGACACCATGCTCATTCCCTTTCCCATTCAAATAGCCCAAGTGCAGCCTCAACTTGACATGCACAAACCAGAGTCCTAACATTCCTGTTTTCCACCTATTATTTGTAATTACCTCCATCTCAGGCCAGATTTGTTTGAGCATTTGTGGATGACTAATAAATTGCTATTCATCATTTAAGTTAATACAAGGAGAGGGCATTTATATTTCTTGGTTATGGTAAAAAAATATAGTGAGCCCAGTTATATACCAAAATTATAAAGGCAATTATAAAGCTGTTTTAAGATGAGAGGAATGATTTACACAACTTAGGCAGGGAATAAAAGCTAAGCATTAACAACAATAGGGTGATGCTAATATGTTGATGCTTTATTAATGGCTTCAAGGTGAAGAACATGTATTTCTTTACCTCTCTGTAAAATCAGCATATGCTTTCTACCTAAAAAGGCAGTTGGAATTAAACGGTCATTTCAATTAGTAGGACTATGAATACTGCTGCTGCACTTCATGTTCCCATCTTGATGTCTGGAGAGCTTCAAGTACAACTGACACAGACACTCATAAGATCAAGGTCAAACTGTCTGCATAATAAATGATAGAAAGTATTAATTCACCCACAGATGTGGCAGCAGAGACAAATAATCTTCATGCAGTTTATCTATCCATCTGTGTATTTGAAAGACTTAATTAATTACAACACAATTAATGCTGCATTAAGTGTCCCTCTCAAAAGTCTTTAAGGGGCAGTTCAACACTATGTATGCTGTATGCCTTCACCAGGGGGTTATAAATCAAAGTTTTCCAGTTTTCCTGCTTTCAGGGTGATGCAAGAATAGAGGTTATTTTACTTATCTGGGAGTAAATAAATAAATAGTTCCATCCATTTTAGTTTTTACTACCTCTAAAGTTAGTTTCTGTAGGCTGGTGGCTGAAGTCTGACATATGTAAGGTCTTTTTGCAGAGCCTGCCTTTAAAAATATAATTAATTTGTACTTTTTGAAAAGTTCACTGTTGGCAGAAGCTGAAAAGCATTTTACCTGTTGGTTTCAATGGAAAGGGTTAGGCCTGTGGTAGGAATTTTTGAAAATCTACTTCTGACTCTATTGTTTCTGAAAGCTACCCACCAATTTAGTATTTAGAGAAGCATGTCATACTGAGGCTTTCACCTTTTGACAGAGTTGCCATTTATTCATCATGACAGAGCTAGGCAAAGAGCATACAAATTTCTTCTTAAATATTTCTCTTAAATGATAATTCAAAGCAGATTGGGACCTCCGACTCCACTGATATTCATGACTTGCATGTACCTTCACTAAAATTTTGGAAAAACATTTATGTAAAAGTAAGTTTAATTAAATGATTATTGAACATTGAATGGAAAGTGGACTTTGAGAAGATAAAGTCTGTCTTACAAACTATCAGAGGTAGTCTAAGATAGCTTGAAGTCAGGCCAGCCTCCTCTAAGAATTTCTGTCAGTGAAACTACAGACAGTGAAATATTGGCAATCAATCTGTAGAACAACAAATAATTGTTTACATGATTTGGAATGGATTTTACTTCAGACTAGAATACCAACTCTAGTTTCATATCAATGGGGGCATACGCTCAAAGCTCACTGCTATTAACAGCAAGACTCATGTGGGACTTACATGTTTCCTGAGCCTTTTGTGTGATCTCTTATGATTAGAAAAAGAAGATAAATTCAAGAAATTATTAATTTGCTATTCCCCATTGATCTTTTGAAAAATGGAAAGCTTTTGATGCATAATATACCCATTTTTCAAAAAGCCAGCTTATGGAAGAGATCCGAGCAGAACTCATACCAGGTACTGGACAGGGGTTGAGAAAGGTTTTGAAAGAGATATTGCCAAAGGTTATAATTTGCTTGGCAGGGGTTAGTGCTTATATGGAGGGCACCTTTTTCTTTGCATCTTTGAGTCTCTAGGACTTGGTAGTTATCTCAGCATTGGTACCTGAGATGTGTGAGAGATACAAGGTGAGGGTCTAGGAGCTTGAAATGATGCATGATTAGGATTTTTTGCTAGCATTCTGATATTAACCTCAATACTCTTTTGACTGCATTAATTACAATTGTAGTTGCAAGATTATGAACAGATTCGTTTGCAAAATGGAAATGAGTGGTTTAATTTGTCTGATGGATGAAATGAGAACTGTATGATTTTTGTTTTCACATGCAAGCTAATTTCTGACACAGGTCTGGAGAGGTTCTAATCTCTTCAGTTTAAATAAAATATCAATTATAATCTTTATTCTCATCCACAGTTCTGTTGTGTTATAAATGTGTAATATTTCATCATCACATTACTGAATCAGGCTAAAATATCCCAGTCTTTTATTTGATGTGATTTGGCCATATAATGCAAATATGGCTCAGGTGTATGTATTAGTCACATGAAGAAAATTATAAGGGGGGGAAGAACATGTGTGATTTAAAGCATAGTAAAGGGGGTAGGTGGACTCTTAAGTTTTTTAGTTGGCGTATTAAAACATACGTAACAGAAGTGCAACAAAATTATTTTTATTATTCCAAAATGCACAACAGACAATACAGATGTTTACAGATTACCACTTTTAAAACCTCACTAGACCAAAGAAAATGTCCATGTGTATTAGTCTTATAAATAAAATTGAGAGAACTAACATCTTTCAGTAAAAAAGCTAAAAATGAAATAAGTTAAAATATCTATTATCTATTGTAAGAGAGATCCAGAGTAACAGACAAATTTCCTTTAAATAAACCGTAGGGGTCTCAAAAGCTGACATGCCAGGTGACCTCAAGTAGTCATCTACCTCATTCCCTTGCCTCATGGCAAATTGACTTTATCTCTGTCATTCCCAAGAGGTTCAATGTGTTCATGAAGACCTGTAGTGGTCACTGCTCCACAGTCCCCACTCTCTTGCTTCCTTCTTTCCCCAGCCCCCTGACAATTTATTTCAGTGTCTAGCTGTCTGTACCTTTTGGAAGATTTGCCAGTGACCACTCTGAATCTTTCATTAGTTGTTCTGTTCACTATGAACGTGAAGAACTGACTGTTCCTTTTCTCTTTGTAACAGTCTTCAAGCATGTAAAAGGTTCCACTAACTCCCCCCCTAAGTGTTACCTCCCATAAGCAAAACAAATACACTTATTTAAGTCTTTTCCTCATAAGATATTTTTTAGGCCTTTCTCCATTCTTATTACTCTTCTGTGGATTTTCTCCGGTTTTTCAATGCCTTGAAGTTCTGAGTCCAAAGCTGGAAATAACAATTCAGCTGAAGCCCTTATCTTGTTGAACTGAGTGGTAGAAGTAGGTTGTGTCTTGTAGGCTCTCCTCTTTACATTCCCCCTTTTCTGCAGCGGTGTGATACTATTGACTCATACTTGGCCTGTGTCACCTCCAAGTCTTTGGTGCTGAACTGCTACTGAACCAGTTGCTCTCCATTCTGTGTTTGTGCAGGTGGTTGTCTCTCATGAAGAGTGGTACATTTTCATTTTCCTGATAGCATTTCATTCTGTAGGTTTCAGATAATTTTCTCAGTAATGTGAGATAATTTTCCATTCTGATTCAGCCAGTCCTCCAGCTTGCTTCCAGAGCATCCCAACTTCATACTGGCCATTGCAGAACTAGGTTGCTGCAGAACTCTATGAACTTCCATTCTGAGAAGGGACTACTGTGAACTGCTTTCAAGGCATGTTATCACACCGTGTTTGCGCTAGTGGGAGCAGGTGCCTCTAGATTCATCCGTAAATAATTTGTGAGACTCCTATGTTAAATAGTGTTAAAAAAATTCTCATCATTACATTCTGTTATGTAATGAGAGGAAATCCAGTGTTTCTGATGTGTGGCAAAATTATCAGAATTGTTTAACTGACTTAGGGTATGTTTACTCAGGTGAAAGTAGACAGCTAATGATTCTTTTTTCAGGTTAGCCAGGTAGGAACTAGAGTTCATGTTATTTATGTTATTGTGGCACTGAGCCTGAGCTAACAAGCCTCACTGAGAAGGCACAAGAGTTCAGGTGACATTCAACATTTGAGCATAGATTTTGGCTCTTAAATAAACATGCTGTTAATATTTACAGAGCATAATGACTACATGAAATATTTAGAAAGTGAGGGCACTGATGTTGGTTGTAAGAACACCAGTGCTACAAGGCTTTTTAAAATAAGTGCATTCTGAGGAGAGGTGGAAAGCAGAGGACAATAAAGACTTGAAACTTGGGAACTTTTTGAAAGCATAGGATAGCTTAGAGTAAGCTAAGTGAACTAGGCAGTGGAAATACAGGAATGTAAAGAATGAAGGTGTAATAGAGCAGAAGAGGAGGCAAGGGCAGAAGGAATGGGAAACAGTTCTGTAGACCCATAAAAATGATTTTAAGGAAACTGATGGGTTAAGTAGGGAAGACCTGAAGAGAAGTTTAGTCAGTAGCTCTCCGTTTTCGCCTTAAAATTATTTGTTTCAATCCTGACAGTTTCTAAACAGCCTTGCCTATTGTCTTCCACATAAGCCTGATCAGTACCTTCGTTTAGGTTTAACATTTAAAGCCAAACTGCCATCTCAAATACCCTTCATTGGTTGCTTCCATTCTGACTGAAGGAACAGTAGGATGGCCCTAGTCCCCTCACAGTGCAGTCGGTGCTGTCAGTGTCGCAGGTCTCACAATGGCACTCTGTAGCTACTGGGTATGAATAAAAAGATTCAGGATGGTCACCGCAGCCAGGGATCTTCACTGTTTCATACACAACCTCCTTGAAGGTACATGTCTGCTGAACGGATGATACTGGTGGATATTTATATACTGGATCCTGAAAATTACAAGAAGGAAATACCTATTTTGAAATCTGTTATGGGGTAGAATTTCCAATTTTTATAAAATAAAGGAGCTGATGTGAAAATTAATTAAACTGCTGGGAAAATCCCACTGAGATCAAAAGGATTTGGATCAGACTCTTCTAATTTCAGCTAGATCCTTAGAGTTCTCCTTTCAGGAGGACTGATACGGCAAATTTGTGTCATACCATCACCAGACAATCTTGCAGGTCAATTGCTTGGTTCTTCAAATTATTTGGAAAAGTAGAGGAATCTACATGGTAACGTCTGCTTTATTTTATCTGTTTGCAACCACAAATTTAGCACAATGCAGAGATCCAGGCTGTAATACTTTCAACTCTAGTTATACAATATGAACATAGTGTGTGCAGCCAGTTAGATATCTGAATTTTCCTAGCACCTTTTCACCCTTCCCTTTGGGGTTCGGATTGCCTGTGTATCTACTTCCCTGTCAAATAGCACAGCAGTTACTCAACCTGTTCTTTCACAAGGCTCATCCTAACTGTGTGTTCGTTATGGACTGGAGAAATGAGTTATTCATACATCACTTGTAATATTTAATTCTTGTGTCTGAAATTAAATTTAAGATTCTCACCCTTGTGAAGCAGTATCCTGAGCACCACGTGGCATTCACTGTAATGCAGAATTCACATTCTTCTCTTTCCACTGCTATAGTGATATTGGTGAGCTGACAGCTGTTGCAACAAATTGCTTTCCAGCAAAGTAACAGCACGCAACAATTAACTGTCTTCATCCTGTGCAAAAAGCAAAAAATATATCTGTACTGGAGAAACATGTATAGTTATTTTTAACAGGAAATATTTATAGAAACAGGGAGAACTTGAGTCTTCACATTATCCTCAAGTGGTTCTATAATACCAAGCTTTCAAAAACATCAGTGAGAACATAGGATAAAGCCATTAAATAGATCTATCCATGTATTTATTGTTAAAGGAGTTTGATTTTCCTAAGCGACTGAAATGGCATGTCAGCAATCTTTGCAGAATAATAATAGCAGACTACCATACCACTTTCAATGAAATATTTTCATCTAAGTTTCTGTACAGAAAATGTGTCCAGTCTTTAAGGAGAAAGAAAAAGAAGCAGGGGAGAGAAAGAGCAAAGGATAATCTATTTTTCAGAAGCAAGAAATTACATACAGTGTTTGCAATTTGAAAAAAGATTTCTAGATCAGGATCTGATGAAAACGTACCTGTATGCTACTTGCCTTCCTGGTAATAGCTGTAGTGAAAAGAAAGCCCTATGCTCACCTTTTATACTAAATTGTGTGTAACTTATACCTTGAGGATTTGCCGTGTATTAGTGCAGCGAACATTAGTTTGGTACTTGGTGAAAGCGGATTAATGTTCAGCCAGACAGTGAGATTAAGCCTTGCTAAGAGGAAAAAAGAAAAGCAAAACACACTCAGGCAGGCATGGTGAAGGTTACTGTCACAATGTCTTTTTAGAAGTTTCACTGCATTCGATTCAGTGGCATTTATAAGTAGCTGAGCCATTCCACAATTTGAAAGAAGGTTGAGAAGCCTATTTTTGGAAAAGATCAGGTGTTTTATGTCAGTTTTAACTGTGTGTTTAGCCTTAAGGAACAAGCTGGTCCTCTGGTAATTCATACCCATAGTTTTTCAGGGTATCAGTCTTAATTGCTTTTCTCTGAATTAGGTCTTACCCAGTGAGCAGCATATTTACTTTTTTATTGATCTGTGGTCCAAGAAAGCAAGTAGTGCAAGTTTTGTTAAACCATGAGTAACTCCACTTTTCTTTACCTTTTAAAATACCACTGTGCTTTTTCAAACAGACACCATCACTTTTTTTTTTTTTTTTTTTTTTTAAACTTATGTAAGGGATGTCTGTATTGTGGAAAGGGACTATAAAGATGTCGTAATGAGGCTCCAGATCTGTGTTTTCTGTCAGTGGTCTCAGAACACATATTGTCATGTTACAGGGAAAATGCTAATATTTTTAACAGGGAACCAGGCAAACAACGTGAATGCGTTCCCTAGTTTGTCATGATAATAAAACATTCTATGAGTAGTGTTCCCCCGCTCACTGCCCTTTTCCTGCGTTCACAAGTTAGTGATGTGTGCCTCTTCACCAGAATAATGACAGAGAAATAAGTTTGTTGAGCTTCTGAGGAAGATGACTCACAGTGGCACTGTATTTACTATCATCTGCCCAGAACAGCCAGTCTTGCTTTGTTATGGCTGTTCTATTATGGTCAGTCTGACTTTTACAGAAATCCATCCACAAAAGAAAGCAAGGCAAGGACATACAGTTAAAAGCATTTTATCATGAAAAGAAATTCTCACTGGCTTATGAGTTGTCCTGCAGACGGGATAATTTTCAAACTGGCTTTTACAAATGAACCCTTTAAGTGTCTCATACCTTCCTGTGGTCCTGCAGACTGGCCATCTGTTCCAGTTTCCAACCAGTCTGCAACATCTTAATTTGTTAACGAATTTAGTATCACACCAAAGTTAGAAAATGATCCTCAAATTTTCCTTGGACATCTCCTATAATAATAACTTTGGTTGAATGAGAACACAGCTCATTTTAATGTGTAAAGAAGTCAAGAAAGCAGACATCTTCCTCTTTATTAATATAAACTCTGATACCCTTTGATAAAGGTCTTTTGTGTCATTTAGCTTCAGCACAGTCCATCTTCTCAGAGAAGATTTTCGCTTGCTGTAAATCACTCATTTCACAGATGCCAGACAAAAGCTGATTACAATTTGTTATATCCCTGCTGAGGATCTGGCCTTTTCTAAAAACTAATTTATGCCAATTAAATTAAACTAAATAAACTTTATTTGCAAAGGACAATACAGAAAATATCTAATCTTTCCATTGCAATAATCTGTTTTATGGTTTGAGGAAGTCATACACATTCACTAAAACCATAGTTTCACAAGCAGTGAATGCAAGTGTAACCCCTGCCAAGCTGTTTTTTTTCTCCACTTGTTCCTTGCTCAAGCCCACTCAGCCTCCTCACTTGTAGCAATGCAAATTAGGGTGATCATTCTGATTAAAAGGAAAAAAAAAACAACCCAGCTGTCTTTTACAGCATTGTTGTTAATCCATCTCAATTTGTTCTGCAATGGAACAAACAGCTGTAGTGGTGTAATTGATGGGGTTGATTGGGAAGTGGCAATGAGAGGGGAGGCTAGCAGGAACTGCTTTACGTGGTGATTTCACTGAAGAGTTCATGAAGCCACATTGTAAACACAATGCAAACTTTTTAACAGGACGATTTTGTTCTGCACTGACCTGAAGGGCATTTTTTTTCTTTAATCATCAGGTCTGGGTTGGTTTGCCAGCTATCAGCTCTGCTAAATTCATTGTGTGAATGTATGAATGTGCATTTTTAGGGTAATAGGGAATTACAAATTGAAACCACCTAACCACCAGTCTGTCATCTGAGGAGCAGTAATTTGGTGAGTTTCTACTTGGTTGACTTTGACTTTGTTTCCATGCCTTTTGTTACAAGGAGGCACTAAAGGAATCACCTCTCATTATGGGCAAGATGCTGTGTAAATACGTGGTTTTTTAAGATTATTAGTTCTGGGAAATGTTTATATGCTAACTATATCATACTCCTTCAAGTTTATATTCCCATTAGATTAAAAAAAGGTTATGGTAGTTGTGAAGGGAATAGCAAATGTTATTTGTCAAGCGCTATCATTTTCACGTGTATGTGAATGCTATACTTAGGTTCTGTGTTATTGAATTTTGTATCTATTTGAGAAATAGAAATGCTTTCTATTTTAAATGGTTTACATTTCAATTTGTGGAATAACGTTAGAGGGAAGAACACTTTCTCTTTATGTGCTACAGCAACCTTTTAAGTAAGGTTTTTATCTGTCTAGTTCTTACGCAGTACTGTACATCCTAGATTTAGCATTTGTCATTATGCTTCCAGGCTGAATGCTAGGTGTTGCCCAGATTGTCAAAGAGGAATTATTGAAACCATACTCCTGGAATTCTGTGGTGGCTTATGTATACAGCCTAGGAAATTAAAAGACATGGTGGCTTGTCTATACAGAGAGATTCTGACAGACCTGTGTGTGCTCTGCTCAAACTTGGAGCTAGCTAAGCAATTCACAGATCTGGAATGTCTTTGCAAATGGCCTGATTGGATTGGGATGAAGCAATCTCATGCTCTTTCTCCACCTTTTAAGGGTTAGCTTACTAGTGGGTCCATTGTGCAGAATCCAAGCTCTAGCAAGCCCTGTGAGAGAGGTCTCAAGTTGCTGCAGAATCTTTTAATTGCATTATGATTGAGAATGGAAGAGGTGGATTGGAATGGCTAGTGCTTAATGGTCAAGACCTCTGTCAACAGAGATTGCTGTATTCCTGTTGATGTGAGGGGGGAAACCCGGCAAACGCTGTAACGGAGGTTGTGATCTTCAACATGGACAGGGGTTGGTTCAGTGGAGTGTAGGTAGTCCTCTAGACAAAGACTCCAACTTTTGTGCAAGTCATAGTGAGCATCAGATTCACATGGCTGTGTTAATGCCTTAGTGGCATCTCAGGGAAATAAAAGGCTTCTCGTGTTGCTTTTATTTTTGTATTCTGTGGCTATATCCCATGGAGTAATTACTGTTATAACCTACCAAGCCATTGTAACCACTGCTGCCACAAGAGAGCACTTTCTTTGCTATTTCTAATAACTTCAACTAGAAGCGCTGTGACACATTCTGCTGCTATTTCCCTTCTAAGCAGTAAATGCCCTTTTTCGTCTGTTTGTGATTTAGGATTTGCATCTAAAACAGAACTGAAAGCTTTGTGTTTCTGATATGTTCTAAACTAATGAATTTCTTTCTTCAAGAGCGGTGATGGTAAGACTAGCAATTCTGTTACTGCGAGTTGTAAATCTGCCTTACTTAAAGTAGTTTAGATCTTTCAGAGGACTTCAGCTATTGGAAAACTTGGCTACATGTGTGCAACTCCTCCACCATGAGTAATAAATCTGAGTCTGTTCTGGTTAAAGATGTATTGAACCTTCTACTGGAAAAACCACAATATCTGATATAAAAGACAGGTCTTATCAGTAAATTATTCTAGCTGCAGACTAGCTTTAGCTTCTAATACATTCTTTTAAAAGAAGTGTCAAGAGATGTGGTTTTAGATTTGCTAGATTCATGGTTGTGGTTACATGTTTTAGGTCTTGTTAAACAGATATGTTACTGGGAATAATAGTTTCTGCATCTGAAAGCTATTTCTCACTGAAAGTAGAACCCAAGGCAGGTTTTAGGTGCTTAAATCTATGGCTTAATTAAATTTCTATGTGTTAGAACAGAATAAAGAGTTGCTTCTCTTAAGTTTGGAGTTGTGCACTTTAGTGCCATCATACTGAATATAATACGTGCTTGTGTCAAGTTTCTCCTGGCGCAGCCTGCTTTGACTGAGTACCTTTCCTCTCTCCTTTTTGTGTTTGTCAAAATGTTTTTCTGCATAGGTTCAAATTTAACCTGAAGTATTTAAAGCAAAAAAGCTTATTGCTGCTACCCAGAGACTGACTAAACGTATATCCTTGAAGTGCACAGATTGCAAATTGCTTCTGAATCTGTGCTTCAGGACTCTCTGTGGGGTTGGTATTTCACAGCCCAGCAGCACAGGTCTGTGTTAATTAAATTGACTGGAGTGTTGTCTTTCCCTTTTGTTGTTTTTGTTGCTTACTACTGGCGGGAGATGACTTTTGTCTTTGCATTACTTTTGGGGTAACCCCATGAGACTT